GGGTTTTCTATTCTGTTCCATTGGTCAACGTATCTATCGCTGTGCCCGAACCAGGCTGGTTTGACTATTGTAATTTTATAATAGATTTTGAGATCAAATAGTAAGAGATCTCTGACTTTGTTCTTATTAAGAAGTTCTTTGCTTATCCTGGGTCTTTCCTCTCTTTATATGAAGTTAGTAATTATTTTTCCATTTTTAGGGAATGATGTTGGGATCTGGATAAGAATTGCAACATATTTATTTATTGCTTTGGGTAGCATTGGCATTTTTACAATGTTAAGTGTGCCTATCCACGAACATGTAAGTTTCTTCTATTTACATAGGTCTCTTGGTTTCTCGGTGGTTTGGATTTTCGTCCCAGTCTTTTGTTATTCTGGTTAGGTTTATTTCTAAGTGTTTCATCTTTTGTGTGACTACCATAAATGGTATTTTTTCCTTGATTTCTTTTTCAAAGTTCTCTTTGTTAGTTTATAGAATACTATTGATTTTTGTGTGTGTTAATCTTGTATTCTGCGACTTTGTTGAATTTTTGTATTGTTTCCAACAATATTTGTTGGAGTTTTTAGGTCTTCTATGTGTAAAATCATATCATCCTCCAAAAATTGTGGATTAAAATGAGTAAGACCTTAAATAATATCACTCAGTTTTTCTGAAATCCAAAATACCTAGCTAACATTGAGTCTTCATTCCGTTGTCCTATCTGACAGTCAGTTGATGTTAGAGACCAGGGGTCAGCAAACTTTTGAGATAGAAGAACTAATTTTGTCCCTCACCCAAGTTAAAAATTATTTGAAAGCCATAAATGTCTATTTACAAGCAAATAAAATCACCATTATTGGAATATGATTTAAAAGTTGTATAAATGAAGCTATGATGTTTTATTTTCATTTTCAATTTGGCTTCACAGCCACATGTACGTACAGATGGAGCCACATACAGCTCATGAGCCACAGGTTGCTAACCCCTGTGGCAGACAATCACTGCTTCTCTGACACAGGACACTCTCTTCTCACTGATGAATATGAACACCCCCAGGCCTTATCTAGGCATGGAATGATTTGGAAAAGGCATTTAGTGAAGATGAGAAACAGGTGACTAAAAAGAAGACAGAGTTGCTTCTAAAAGTTCTAACAGTTTAAAAAAACGTGACGGGGAAACACATGTAGCTAATGCCTCTGGGGAGTCCCCTCTGAACCAAGACCAGATTGGGAATGTGCTTGCTATCATGCAGAATGCACTGGGCAGTGGATTAGGAGAGATATAGCTAGATTAAAATCTAACACCTTATCGTTTGATTGATCTGTCTTTTGACCCATTTTAAAATAGCTCTAGTTCTTAATATTTTCTGTTTGTTTGTTTCCAACTGGGATTTTTCGCTTTTATTTTGTTATTATAAGCTTTGTCTACTCTTTGTTTTTGTATTTTTTTGGTATATGAAATTCAGAATGGTTGAAACGATAGAGACAATATCTGGATTGATGTTCGTCTGGGGGTACAACAATGGAGGCTGTAGGGAAATGGGGAGCTAGCAACAAAGAATACCAAAAGAAGAAAAAAAAGAAAATGTTCTAAAATTGATTTTAGTAATGATTGTATAATACCTCTTGATATGATGGAACTATTGAATTATATGATATGTGGATTGTGTCCCAATAAAACTGTTTCTATAAATAGGTATGTAGGTAGAGAGGGAGGGAGAGAGAGAGAGAGAGAGAGAGAGAGAGAGGTCAGATAAAGAAATTACATTTAGTAACGTGAACGACACTGCACACCTGGTAATCGGCAGTAGCTTCGGGACCTCCTGTGTGTCAGAGTCCACCGTGGGAGCATTAAAACAGGAGGCATGCAGCCTTTCAAACATATCCTGCTTGTTGTCAACATCCAATCAAAAACACTGAAGGGTATTTCTCTGTAAAAATGCATTTGTCCCAGTTTCCTATGTTTCCTCTCATATAATCACCAGAGTGCATGCTTGTGTATCAATCCCCTTCAGGTGTCAGAGGCCAGGAAACGTCCACTAAAGAGATGGCCACCTCTGCCAACCAGAGCGCGGCAAGCACACTGAGAGATGTTGTGCTTTTGAGGCCAAAGCTGCTGACTACATCTGCTGCGCTGTCCAAAGTGAATGCCACGTGGAGAGAGACCAGCGGATTCCTGCGAGACTCCTCAGAGGCCAGTACGTTGCCGTTTCCTTGACCTTCATCAGAGTGTGCTCCGGGTAGAGAGCCTTGACCTTCATCAGAGAGTGCTCCGGGTAGAGAGAGCCTGAGCTTGCAGACTCTTGGCATCTCCACAAACTTCATCAACATCAGTCCTGAAAAAGTAAAATGGTGTGAACATCAGGATTTGCAATTACAAAGAAAGAGAAGTCTTGGGCAATACATTTCTCATCTATTTGCCAAATTTGTGAGGATTTGATTATTTAAAATAATCCATATTTGTTCTATTGTTGATGAATTCGGAGTGAATGAATCTTATCTTCTCTCCCTCAACTGTTGTTGCCCTTCTCATCTCTTTGTATTTGTTAGCTCTGTTAGTTAGAAGAAAAGTCCAAGAGGTGGAGACGCAAGCCAACCTTTTACTTGACCGATTGAAGCCTTTGAAGATATTGGAAGAGAACCTGAGCAGAAACCTCTCCGAAATTAAGCTGATGATCAGCCAGGCCCGGAAACAAGCCGCTTCGGTGAGTGTTGTGCTCCTTTTACTCCAGAGCCTCCAACAGGAGCACAGGGGCACTCAGTGCAGCGATGCCAGAGCGGCCTGCAGAAAGGCCTTCCAGAACTCTGGTGGACTCGGCTCTCAGAAGACCAGCCTCCTGTTAATTATAATCATAATCATCAGTATATTTTTTCAACATGCTTTTGGAACAGAAGTCTCCATGTCTTTATGGAGATTTATAATAATTACCTCTGCCCTCCCCTAAAGCCTTTCAATGGGGAGCCTGGTGGTGTAGTAGGTATGCATTGGGCTGTGATCGCAGAGCTGGCAGGGGGAACGACTGGGCTTTCTACTCCCATCTACAGCTCCAGTCTTGGAACCCCACAGGGCGGCTGCTAGGAGTCACCATGACTGATGGCAGTGAGTTGGGCTTGGTTGCTCCAGTTCTATTTGCCATCAAGTCCACTCTGACTCATGGCAACACCAGGTGCCTCAGAGGAGACCTGTGTTCTGTGGGGTTTCTGGTGGCTGAATTTTTTATTTTTTTAAGTAGACACCAGGCCTTTATATGGCAGGGCCCCTGGATGGATTTAGAATTTACCATCTTCACCACCTAGAGACTCTAAGTCCAAGTGTTATTTACGCTCAGTTTTATTGGCTGGGTATAATGTCATGTCATCATCTTACCAACTTAGCTTCAAATATCCAGTTGCTCTAATAGGAGTAGCAATACCAGAAGGGTAGGGGGAAGGTGAGGAGAGGAAGGGAGGAAGGGAAAACTGATCTCAATGATCAACACACACACACACACACACACACACACACACACACTTCCAGTGGGGCGAACAACAGAAGCCTTGGGGGGAAGAGAGATAGCAGTTGGTGTAAGATATGAAAATAATAAGAATTTGCAATTTCTCAAAGGATCACATGTTGGGGGTGGGGGAAGAACTGATACCAAGGGCTCCATAGAAAGTAAATGTCTATAAAAGAATGACAACATATGTATAAATATGCTTAATACAAATGATGTGTGGATTGTTATAAGAGTTGTAAGCGTCCCCCCCAAAATGATCTTTTTAATTAAAAAATTTAAAAATCCAAGTACTCTTCGGAATGTGACTGAGACTAAGATAGATGTCAAAGCCCAGGTAAACAGACCTACGTGACGTTTCTGACCGAAAGGCCCCTTGAGGATAAACAAAGAGCTCAAACTCCTTTCTTCTGTCTCGAAGGCTTCAGGTGGATGTAGTCCTTGTCTTTAGGAAGCACGATCATTTGCTACATAAAACGCTCTCAAAATCCCACATTGATGTTCCTATAATTACACACTTTGTGACATCAAATCATTTTCACCATTATTTGATTGCCAACATTTGGGGGGCCAAAGCTTCATATTCCATCAAGGTAGGAAGCCTGTCTTGCAGGGAAGGTCACTTATGGCGAGGACGCTGCACTCTTGGTGAGCTGGCAGTGCTTGCAATGCAGGGATTAGAACGCTTTCGCCTCTCTCTGCAGATTAAAGTTGCCGTGTCTGCAGATGGAGATTGCATCCGCGCCTACCAGCCACGGATCTCGTCTACTAACTACAACACCTTAACCCTGAACGTGAAGACGAGCGAGCCGGACAACCTGCTCTTCTACCTTGGAAGCAGCACCAGCGTAAGTGATGGGCTTAGAAGAAACAGTGGTTTTCTTATGAGCATATGTATTTTCTGAATTGACGTTTTATTGAAAAAAAAAAAATATATATATATATAGCTAGCCTTGGGGAAATCACTAATTCTTCTAAGGGAACGAAGCTTTCATTCAGCGGGGAGCCTAAGATCAGAAATAAACAAATGGTCAGCATCACAGCCGGGTGAGGAGGAAATCGGCATTTTGGAAAGGGTATCTTCTTGCACCTCCATCACAAGCCTTGAGAACAGACTCTGCAGGACACGCTCTGTGACCCTGAAGGAACGCGTCTCGGGGAGTTGGTAATGTCAGTGCTGCTGGTTGTCAGCAGGAGTGAGGAGGACGGACTCTAGTGGGAGGCACGTGAACGTCCAGCTTTCCCCAGGCTCTTTGGCCAACTAGATTGAGTGGCTCCCGAGGACATAGTCCCTGTGAATAATAGCCTTCGGCCAAGAGGAACGGACCAGAATCCTCAGATGTGTTAGGGCCAAACATATTGGAAAGCCATATGTTATCATCAATGACTTCTGAGGAGGTCATGTGCAAAAGCATGTACACTTATGATGTGGGATTCCACACCTCTGTTTTCCTGTGTGTCTCACATTCAATCGTTGTATCCTCAGTAAATGGTGGGCAAACATACAAGTGAAAGGCGTGGATTTGTGCTTTCTGTGGACTGCTGGAGGCAGGCAGGGGGGATTATGGGGAAGCTGGGATGTCAAGAGACATCTTTGAGGGCCAAGTAGTCTGGGATTGAGAGTGTTCAACAGTGGCTACCATTTCAGGAGCTCTAAATCATTGTCCAGTCCCAAGGAGGGGGACATTTCAGATAAAAGGAAGATCATTTTTTGTGTTTACTTTTTTCAATTTTGGAGAGAATGCTGTATGAACTCATTTTTTAGTGCTTTGGTAATCCAGTAAACAGGTCAGTGTGTAAACTAGGGCCCCCACTTCAATGCCCCACCCTCAGGAGGATTTCCTTGCTGTGGAGATGCGACGAGGAAAGGTGGCCTTCCTGTGGGATGTGGGTTCCGGGTCTACACGATTGGAATTTTCAGACTTCCCAATTGACAACAACAAATGGCACACTATCTACGTAACCAGGTAAGAGAGAAAGGTTTCTTCAAATATCTGTTTTTAAAATGGTATTTGCCTAATACTGGGTAAATAACTATATACTTGCAACAGCGAACAAATTTGTAGGCAGTGGCTCAAATTTCAGCCACTCAACAGTCTACAATGGCAACAATAACACTGGTGAGGTGCTAACATCTTAGGATAATTAGCCATTGACAATCCAAAGAGCAGCATTTCTCTCAGGACAACATGGAGAAGGTTAGGAAAGAAGGAGGAATGGAAGCAGGAGCCATCAGGAGGAAGTAGGACAAGAGGTGGCACTTTGAGAGGAATCATGGTGAGTGAAATGAGACAAAATATGTATGCGTTGTTGAAGGTAACATCCTCCTAAATCTTCACATGGTTCAACATTTTAAAAATTAGGAGAAAGCATAGTGCAAACATACAAGCACATAGCTCAATAACAAGTTAAGTAAGCAGATAGTTCCTACATGTATCAAACAAGGTAAATATTTGGCAATAAAACCTCAAATATTAAAAACAAAAGATGATTTAGATGATAGAAGAAATATGCTCTGTTTTCCAAAATCAGCAATCCAAAAGAGAGGAGGAAAGCAGGAGTAGCTCAGGTTTCCTTGACTGTAGTAGAAATAAGTCAGAGGCCGCCAGCCTAGAAAAGTATTAACAGAAGGGTCGAACAAGAGTGGGAGAAATTATGGAGAGTTGGCAGCGGAACTTACATCGGAGTGGATGGGAAAGAAAAGACAGAAGAAAATGCATCTTCCTAAAATTCAGCACACAGTCAAATTCTTCTGTAAATCCCCTCTCCAGAGGTTTTAAACAGGAAGATAGCAAGATGAGATATATACTCTACAACTACTGTGCAGTATTACAGAAAGGTAACTGGAGGAATGGGGGGTGGAATAGATGAGAAACAGGGACCAACCAACCGGTTGAGAAGCTGTTGCCATGGAATCATTGAGAACAGAGGGATGTTGTATATGAAAAGAGATGTGCCTGGAGATCCCTTGCAGAGGGGTCTCGGGAGGAGACAAGCCAGTCAGGATGCGATGTAGCAACGATGAAAAATACAACTTTCCTCTGGTTCCTAAATGCTTCCTCCCCCCCCCCCCCACCCCCACTATCATGATCCACATTCTACCTTGCAAGTCTGGCTAGACCAGAGGATGTACACTGGTACAGATAGGAACTGGAAACAGGGAATCCAGGGTGGATGATCCCTTCAGGACCAGTGGTGTGAGTGGCGATACTGGGAGGATAGAGGGAGAGTGGGTTGGAAAGAGGGAACCGATTACAAGGAACTATATGTGACCTCCTCCCTGGAAGACAATAGAAAAGTGGGTGAAGGGAGATGTCGGACAGGGCAAGATATGACAAAATAATAATTTATAAATTATCAAGGGCTCATGAGGGAGGGGGGGTCAGGGAGGGAGGGGAAAATGAGGACCTAATGCCAGGGGCTTAAGTGGAGAGGAAATGTTTTGAGAATGATGAGGGCAATGAATGTACAAATGTGCTTTACACAATTAATGTATGTATGGATTGTGATGAGTTGTATGAGCCCCTAATAAAACGATTAGAAAAAAAGAAAGAAAAGAGATGTGCAACATTCTGGTATTGACTTGAAATACTGAAAGTGTTTCTTTTTTAATTCTTTGTCATCCATAGGTTTGGAAACAATGGCTTGTTGAGTATAAAGGAAATCAGTTCAACTCAAACACTGCCAGCAAAAACAAGTAAATCCCCTGGGACAGCTAAAGTCTTGGAGATAAACAATTCAACACGTATGTTTGTTGGAGGACTTGGAGGACAAATCAAGGTAAAACTCTGAAAGCTCTCCAGGCAGCACTGATTGACTTGGCTGATTTCACGTAACTGTGAGATAAATCAAAAGCATTGCTAGAACCATAGAAGCCTTTTTGAAACAAAAATATCACATTGTGAGACTTCTTTCTCAATATGTCCTTTATCCAGCTCCATTCCCTTACAGAGGCCCTGTTCCCATCTCTTTAGCCCTTTCCAGAAAAACTCCACCCTTCCACGTACGCTCTATTACAATCACAGTTTTGACATTCTCGGGGGACTCAAATGGTATTCATTTTCAATAGTCTTTGAGTTTGTGGAACAAAAAGAAATCTGAAGGGACAAGATTAGGGCTTTAGGGTAGATGGGTTAAGTTTTCCCAATGAAATTTTCATAGGCCAGCCCTGCATTGTTATAATAGGAAAAAAAAATCCTCATTATTGTCCTGGCATTTTGCTTACCAATGCACTTTCCAATTTTCTTAAAAGTTCTTTATAATAAGATCCCATGATTACCCTGTGTCCTTCAAGAAAATCTAGTAAGAGTACTCACTTGGGATTACAAAAAAACAAAAACAACCCACAACAGTCACCATTACCTTCTGCGTTGATCTCCCGGCCTTGAATTTAACTGACTCAACAGAGAGAGCTCTTTGCAAGCCCTGTTTTGATGGATTCTTTTTGTAGACATTGAATAGCTAACTGCAAGATCAGTAGCTCAAACCTTGCCAGGCACTCCAGAGGCGAAAGACAAGGTTGTCTGCGCCTGTAAAGGTTTAGAGTCTACACAGTGCTTCTCTGAGTCAGAACTGACGTGATGGTATAGAACTCATGAGAGACTCAGGCAAGTGAGAGAACCTGTCTGCAGAGACATGTTTATACGTGTTTTTATGGCAAATAAAAACAACAATCTATGAGGATGTGGAATCCTAGTAGCAAGAATTTTGAGTTACGCTCATATACACTAATATGTTTAAAATGTTGACAACCCAGGAACATTTTTCTGATCCATTATTTTGCTTAATCACTGTTCACCTGTAGGTTTAGGCAGAGTTTGAAGGGGGGAAAAGTAACGTAGTCTAAAATGAGAAGCCACAGATCTATTTTTCAGCAATGACACAGAAAATGTGTTAATTCCTATTGATTTCTCAGTAAAGTTCTGGTATTTATAGTGGTAGACTCATGCTAATTTGTGTTTAGAAAAAGAGCCCATCGGTCATATTTATGTTATCCCACCCAGCTTCTCACCAAACAAGAGTAGACTTCCTTGGCTCAGCTTTTCTCTCTGGAACACGGACAAGGGTCTGAGGCTCAGTAGGGCTTCTCCCGCCTGACCACGTTCTCTAGGTGTCTGTTTCTTCCTAGAAAAGACTTCACTCCGGGAACCCTGGGCGCTCAGATAATCTTTAAGATCCTGTCCAGTTGTCCCTCGTTGTATGATCCCACCTTAAAACTGGAAGGAAATCCAGTGACGGCAGCCGGCCATGTGTCTTTGTTTTATTTTCACAAAATCTGCATCTGTTAGATTTGTGCTCCCAAGGAGAATTTTCATGTGCTCGAAGAACATAATTCTCTCCACCAGATTTTTGTGGGTGACATTTGTTTGTTTATTTGTTTGCACAGAAGTCTCCTGCTGTGAAGGTCACTCACTTTAAAGGCTGCCTGGGAGATACCTTTCTCAATGGGAACCCTATTGGCCTGTGGAACTACATTGAAAGAGAAGGCACATGTCACGGTTGTTATGAAAGGTAGCGTTTCCTTATGGTGCAGCATACAGTGTGTCATTCTGTTCATATCAGACTGCTCTTGAGAAAGTTATATGTACCTCAAAAGACTGATGACCTCTCTCAGAGGTTCATCTTATTGTAAGAAATATGACAGCTTATATACTGAAGGAAGCAGGAGGATCATTTTAAATTTAACCTGTAGGAAGAAATGTTACTTTTGCAGTATTTTGTATGCTTTGATCCTGTATAAATTGCAGGAGCTTCAGCCATCTTCTCAAACAAACGTCTGTTTCCAAAAGTCTTATTTTGCACATGTTGGGAAAACTGCTGCACATTTTTATTTTGAACACATGTCCAAGGATGAGATTTTTTCCCCTTGTTAATATATTAGTACAGTTCTCTAACTGGTATCGGCATATTTTTATGAACAATATCTTAAATTCTTAAGGGATATTATCAATTTAACTACTGATTCTAACAATTCTCACCTAGATGTGGAAAACTACTTTTCTTTAACTCACAGCTTGTTTGGTCTCCCACAGCACTCTCTCCTTTTCAACTGATTTCATCATTCATTGCAGGGGCCGAAAGCGCCATGCATGCAGGAGGCTCATGGTTTATTAGGGAGGTGAGCAGTTTACAGGTCGTGTGAGGACTGCTCAGGAGGCAGTCGTTCAGTCAGGACATTCTCTGTGCTGGCTACAGGCTGACCTCTCTCTGGCCCTCAGCCCCTTGGCCTGCCTTCTCCCTGGCTCCTGCAATGTCACAAAGCTGTGTCAGGGCTGTCTATAAATAGTGGAGAGAAAGCAGAAGGTTTCGACTCCAATAAAGATGGATCATCTCCAAAACCCACAGGAGCACTTCTACTGTGTCCTACAGGGTCCCTGAGTCCGAAGGGATTGGATGGCAGGGGGTTTGGGGTGCAGAGGCATGTCCTCCTGTCTAGAGCCTCAGCCCACAGAAGCCCAGCTCAGACTCTGTAAACGCAGCCCCTCCAGTTAAGGGTCCAGACGTGCCCCACCCCACGAGCCAGCCTTCTGCCCCACAGCACTCCCGTGTTTCCTGCTCAGTAGGCGGAGGAGGCCCCTACTTTGATTCCTGCTCAAGCTCCTGTGCCTCTGTTGCTGTCTCCTGGATCATGGAGGTTCAACATGCAGGGGTCTTGGGGTCCAAAGGATGCTCTCCTGGCTCTTCTCTCTTACTGGTAGTCAGAACCCTCCTTCCTGCTTCTGAGATGGCTCATGATCACTCACAGTTGAATCTCATCATCCTATCTCTATGATCCCTACCTACTTCCCCAGACCCACTAAGAAAATGAAGGCCTTTTGGCTGGCGTAACAAAGTCTGTGATTAGAAGAACCATATTCAATAACTAACTGCACTGCACAGGATAATTCTTGCTAAAAAATAGTGGCAGTGCATGGGCCAGGTGGCTGCTTTTTGTGATAGTCGTTTAACCAAAATCATATGGGGTTCTAAGTCCTCTGTGTGTTTGTCAGGGTAGACTAGAGAAACAAATCCATAGAAACTCATATGTGTGTAAGAGAGAATTTTATATAAGGGGTAATTGTACATTAAGAAAGCATCCCAACCTAATCCAATCCAAGACCATAAGTCCAATATTAGCTCATATATCCAATACCAATCTATAAAATCATCTTCTGACTCACGAAGCACATGCAATGACACCGAGTGCAGGACGATCACAGGCCAGTGGGTAGAAAGTCTTTGGATCCAGTGGTGTTGTAAGCATCTCAGCACTGGCAGGGGTCTCCAGGTGGCTTCTCCAGTTCCCTGGGCACAGGGTCTATCAGCGTAGTGCCACATGTCTTGTCAGTGGAGAGTCTCTCAGAGAGTGAGTGTTGTCAGTAGGGAGTCTCCAAGGGAGAGAGCAGAGAGAGAAAGTGTTTCCTGCCTCCAAGGAGGAAAATACAGGAATTCCCAGAATTCTCAGGAGAAGGCCATCCCCACACAGAGACCTCATTGGTTATATCTTGATTGACAGGTCAGACTCCACCCCTTCACTCTTAATCCTCTCAAGTCCCAAATTGACACCAGATTATGTGACTACCACACTCTGCTAGGGATTAGTGATGTCAAACTAGTAAGACATCTCTGCTTCTTTAATATCTAGTCTTCTAGGAGGAAATTTGGCAAATGGGCCAATGGTTGGAGAGGCAGCTGTGTGGGGCAGGCACTCAAGCATTGCCTTACTTGCACACACTGCTTGACACGCTGGTGATTATCTGATCTCATGAATGGGAATTTTGAAGACTAAAGAAGTCTCACCATTTTTTCAGGCACACAAGGCTATTTGAGAGGGCCAACTTCAGCCCAGCCAGAGACCACACCATTAACCACTGGCTTATGGTACTTTCTGAAGCTAGAACGGAGCCATCAATGAAGTGCTATCGATCAGCAGTTTCCCTTTTGTTTTTTGCCTGTTCATATGCAGGGTCCCTGCATGAATTCCAGAGCTAGGTGTACTTTGTGAGCACAGCACAGAGTCGGCAAGGGTAACAAATCTTCCAAGAGAGCACTTGTCAGTCATCGTTTCATTTTGCTTCAGCCTTTTTCGCAGCCACTCTCTCAGGCAGTCCCTACTGAGGAGAGGAGGCAGAAGCAACGGCTTCAGGTCCCAGGGCAAGGAGGCTTCTGAAGCCCTGGGTGAAGGGAGAAGTAGGAAAAGGGGTGGAGTTTTCTTGTAATGTAGCTTTTCCATTTCCTTGGATTGTGTCCCTGGACACTTAATTCTGAAGCTACAGTCCCTAATAGCAAAGTTGAGATAATAGCACATGCTTTGAAGGGTGGTTGTCAAGACTTAAAGGAATATAATACACCTGACTTGAATAACACACAGTAAATGGACAGGACTATGTAAGCCCAAAGACTTACCTTTTAAAACACACACACACACACACACACACACACACACACACACACTTCATGCACTCTCTTTCCAACCACTCATCCTCTTCATAATGGAGATTTCTGAATATAGTAGAATAATAAGAGCTGAAATAGCATGAAAATCTCCCCATGTTCCAGAACTGTCATGGGGCCTTATGAAGATTATCATTTATAGCCCTCCCGGAGATACTTGTGAGGCACATGAGGTATGTAACCTTTCCAAGATACTCAACTAACAATTATGGGATTGAGATAGAAATTGTAGCAGTCGGAGTCTAATGTCTGTGTCCTTTGCCACATCCAATGAGGGGAAGAAGTCGTGTAATGGAATAGACTTCCAGGAAACCGCAAGTTTAAGCGTTAAATCATAGATTTAAAACATATGCAGTGTATGTGTCCTTTAAGTTTTACTTCCTGAAAGCAGAACGACAGGTTCCATGCACTTGAAACTCAGTTTTGACAACGCATTGCTTTTTTGTTCTCGTTAAGGGAAGCAATTTCACTGCTTGGCAATATTGCCCTGCTTTGACATGGGATGTAGACTTTGGCTGTCACTATCTATTGAGAAAGACAGACAACTGGTGGTCTGTCTTCCTCAATAGATTTTGATAACTAAACTCCATATCACATGTCCAAGCAGCCCATAGTGTCAAACAGTGAAATCGTTTGAACATGTTGCCGGGAGACCAGTCCCTGGAGAGGAGCATCCTTGTTGGCAGAGTAGAGGGGTGGCGAGAAGGCAGAAGAGCCTCACGGAGACGGTGACACCTGGCTGGGACAATGGGCTCGAGCACAAGACCGCGTGGAGGCTGGCGCAGGCCCAGGCGGCGGTTCATGCTGTGGTGCACAGGCTGCCACGGTTCCTGGCTGACTCAAAGGCCCCTTACAACAGCAGCCGTAGGAACAAGTTCACATGCACCCCAAACACCCAAGTCCAAGTTTCACTTTCAAATCCTAAGATATTCTAGAGTAGTATTTTGGAATCGTAATGATGATATGAACCAGATTAACTCACTTTATAATTGAACCATGAGTCAAGCCAGCCTTTTGAAGTAGATTTGTGAAAAGACTAGAGGAGATTTCTTATGGGCCATTTATTTGAGAGGGTTTCAAAAAGTTTCTAGGAAAAAAACTACTTTCTTTCAAATCCATTTTCCACAACCTTTTGAAGCCCCTGCATCTTAGGTAACTCTTCCATAGTTTGTTTCAGATCATGATAAAGGTCTTTAAACTTTTTATGTAGATTTTTGAGAATGTTAGGGATTTTTTTTTTTTTCAAATTAAACTGTCTGGTATTTTGATACATGTTTGCTTTCTAATGTAACTCCAATCTAAATGATGTCTAAATTGATATCTGCAGAGACAGGTACATGTTAATGTAAAAAATATTCAGAAAGCAATGAGATGATGAAAAAGATGTTGCACTACAGAAAATGAGAATAAATGATCAAGAACATCTGTTGATAAGTAGAAATGTCTCCAGCAGTGAGCTGATGTGTGAGCCTGTTTCTTTTACTGCAGTGGACACTGCCAACAGCAACTTGCTTTGCCTTTTAAAACAGCTGGGCCCTGGTCTTGCCTAATCTCAGGATGAGCATATTTTTGAAATATTTGCTCTTGTCGTAAGATTATGGAAATAGGTAGCCGCAGCAGCAGCGGTGGCAAAGAGCTGTCGGCTACTGCTCTGGGTGAATTTTTAAAAAGCCTCTGCAGTTGAGGCCGTGAAGACCTCATAGTTAATGGGGGCTTGAGGACCAAACTCACGCAGCACATGCAATGATGCTGAATGCAGGAAGCTCACATGGAAAGTCCTGTGGGTCCAATGGCAGTGATGCATTTCCAGGGCTCCGGCTGCCATAGGCGTGGCTCCACGTGGCTTATCATCAGGAATGTGAAGCAGAGAGCGTGTGTCCTGCCTCCAGGGAGGAAGAGAGGAGTTCCCAGAGTCCTCAAGAGAAGGCCATGCCCACACAGGCAGCACTGGCTGTGACCTGATTGACAGGCTAGACTCCACCCCTCCCCTCACAATACACTCAAGTTTACATGAAATTATGTAATTACCACACTACCATAACACGTTATTGCACTAATGGCTTTATGCTTTGGAATAAAGCCAGTCATATGTTTGCTTTTCCTAACCGACGACGGGAAAGCGAAGACCCAGGGTAGGCTTTCCTTCTTGGGTTCTCCATGATACACGAGGGGCTCAAATAGCTTGTGGAAAGGTAATAGAAGTTTTCCATGAGCTTTTTGAAGCCCTCTTAATAAATGTTTGCTGGGGGGGGGGGAGGGGAGATTATGGAAATAATAGCACCACCAGGATCTTGGTATGAAAAAATGCAGTGAATGTATCGTGTGTTCTCTTTACCTGCCTGCCTGAGAACGGGTTGCATTTCTCTGGCTCTGTAGTTCCCAGAAGGAAGATGCCTCATTCCACTTCGACGGAAGTGGCTACTCTGTCGTGCAGAAGACGCTCCGCACTACGACGACGCATATCATCATGCTATTCAGTACCTTTTCCCCTAACGGCCTGCTCGTCTACCTCGCTTCCAACGGCACTGTAAGCGTCTTCCTAAGCCCCCCTGCCCCTAGGTGCTTACACTTAGTTGGCTCTGTGGACACTGATGCCATTATTCTGTATGCCAGGATTTCCCCATTTAAATTATTTATTGTATTAATAAAGCTCTCTGGCGGTGCTGTGGGTTCGACATTGGACTGCTAACCATAAGGTTGGTGGTTCAAAGTCACCGTTTGTACTAAGGGAAGAAGAAGAGGCTGTCGGCTTCTGTACAAACGACAGCTTCAGAACCCCTGGCTCCCATTCCTCTGCACCATCCTCCACGCAACAGCAGTGAGTTTTATATCAGTACAAGTTCACTGAAGGGGCTTTGGAAAATACAGAAGAACCTTTGGAAATGTGAAAGTAGGAAATAACCTTCTAGTCAGTATGGATATAAAGAAAACATGTTATTACATTTTGAGTTTAAATAGTATAAACTTTTCTATATTCACTTGTGCCCTCAAAGGCTTTATTTGAATTTCATCTGACAGGATTTTTTGTCCTATTTTTCCTCCATGTTGGTGATTTCTTTCTGTCACCCTTTTAGATTTCTTATTTTGGGAACTTGCCCATTTGTCTTTCTAAATGAAAGAAATACGAAGAAATTCCAGATCTCTTACTGTGTTGTAGATTGTAACAATAATGAATGTTTTTATAACAATAAATATCATTGTATATTTTTTAATGTTCTAGAAAGCCTTTATGAAATTTTTCACCTGCATAGCCTAGACCAGGGCTTCTTAAACTTTTTCTACCTGTGACCCCTTTTTGCCCAAGAAATTTGCAACATGGGTAAGCACCGCTAGAAATACCTCAGATTCATTACATGTTGGATTTTGAAGTGATTTTGGTCCCTGTATGTTCAGAGCCTTTTCATGTTGCCAAACTTTTCAAAACCCCTGCAGTCAGTTATATGACCCTCATGAGGTCACCACTCAAAGTTTAAGAAGTGTTGGCGTAGACCTCTAGCTGTTGGGTTGCATCCATGTCCTGGATTTGACGTTAGAGGGTGTCTGCTATCCTTATTTTAAAGGGAAAAAGAAACCTTGTGATAAAGGCCACGATTTTCTCGCCTTTACAGAAAGACTTTCTATCCATCGAACTGGTCCATGGCAGAGTGAAAGCCACGGTTGACCTGGGCTCAGGACCTCTTGTTCTGATTACAGAGAGACGTTATAACAATGGGATCTGGTATAAAATCGCTTTCCAGCGAAACCGAAGGCAAGGTAAGAGTGAAGAATGAATGACCGGGATGTCGTTCTCCCAGGTGGGAAGAGAAATCTTTCTAAAATCAGTACTCGAAGTCTACTTTCGTTTCCTGAATGATGCTCTAGTGGAAAGTCAGTCTGGTCTTTGGGATACCAAGCAACCGGATTCACCTTTTGCTAGAGGAATAAGATGGTTCTACTGGCATGTATTTCCAAGTGCTTTATCTAGCCGCAAAACACAAACTCAAATCATGAATCAAAATCATACAGATGCTGCTGTCATTTAGCAGTGTGTATTCTGGATTTATGGACTTTTACATGGGTAACTTTCTACTTTCATCTCATAGTCCAGGGCATAGGCTGGTCAAATTTATAGAATGTAAGATAACATTTCCTGGTAAATGAACTTCGCCTGACAGATTTGCTCTAAAAAATGTTAGAAAATGATGTTTACTTTTCCAACCTTATCCATTCTGTCTTCATTTAGGACTTCTGGCAATTATTGATGCTTATAACACCAGTTATAAAGAAACAAAGCAAGGTGAAACTCCAGGAACATCTTCTGACCTCAATCGACTAGACAAGGATCCGATTTATGTTGGTGGATTACCTAGGTCAGGAGTTGTAAGGTATGTATTCGATGGCAGATATTCAAACTACTCTAAGCCATATGAAGTGGGCAGTAAAAGGAGACTTCTGCTGTGAAGCTCACGATTATATACATACTGACTGTAGCACTAGGAGCCCTGCTAGCCTCAAGGTCAGCAGTTTGAAACCACCAGCCACTCCTCCAGATTAAGATGAGGCTTCTACTTCCATAAAGAGTTATAGTCTCGGAACTCACAGGGGCAGGTCTACTCTGTCCTATAGGGTCACTATGAGTCAGAATCAACCCGATGGCAGTGAATGAGCCTTTAGCTCATCTAAAAACTGTTACTAATTATCATATTGAACTCTTTTCTAAATGTTTTTAGAGTAGTAGAGCAGACAGTTTCTAAGGAGTGAAATCATAAATGTCCAAGTAGAATCACTCACTTCAGAGGTTTTCAAATGTGTGTTTGAACCAGAACCCTATCTGCACTGAGTGTCTTTGAAAATCCAGCAGCTTAAATAACTCACAATTTAACTGCTCTACCCCTTCTAAATGTGCCATACATTTCTGACCATACTTCATATTCATAGGTGGAGTCACTGTTGATCTTGGCAAAGAATACATTTAACTCTCAGGGCAGTTGCTCACTTGCCCAAGGTCATGTCCTCTGACAAGACAGAGCCAGGACAGGAATTCGGTGTTCTAACCCCAATCATAGATAGCAAACCCTGTGGTAGAATGAGAGTTTTTTCTGTAGCCACAAGCTGTGTCATAGTAACTTAATGACACAGAGTGGGACACTGAAGAAAAGGACAAAAGGCCCTTTCCTAGGAAGACATCTGAGAATCACAGATTTTTATTCTAGAAGAAACTTGGGCAAAGTCAGAGCCACCTTTTTCATTTGCAAGGGAGAAAAAAAATGAGATCCAAAAGGCTTGACTTGGCCCCAAATCATGTAGTTGCTGGGTGTTTCCCAGCTCCAAGAATGAAGTGAGGCTGAGCAGGAAACCAGGTTGCAGCCAATCCTCCTGTGATGAGCTGGGGCATGCAAATGTCATTTCCACTTGGTCGTGGTTTCTGTTTTGGAAACGAGTCTGACTCTGCTCATGAATCTGGCAACTTCTAGCAGGACAATGTAGTATTGAGTTGGAGACTACTAGTCAGGTTTGGGGCAATCCTAGATGCCCCAAATGCAGTTGCTTTTTTCTGAGCGAAGTTCATGAATGTGCCCTATGGACAACAGCTGATGACTTCTCCACACATTCAGTCGTAGGAAACAACATGGCCTAAACTGGCCCGTGAACTGAACTGTTATCTATGTGCTACAATTTCCTCCTACAACTCACCATTTTTCGTATTGGCTGTATTCTAATGAGTATATTTAAATTGTAGTTGCCATACCATTTTGCTCATCATTCAACATATTTTAAAAGTAAATAAACACATTTTTGTGTGTGCATGTAAATGGGCATCTATGTACCCAAACTCTAAATCTAATTCCAATATCTCTCTCTGTCTTCAAGTCAATGCTGACTCCCAGCAAACCCCTTTGGTTTTCTGAGACTGTATCTGTTCACAGCAGTAGAAAGCCCTTTCTACCAAGAAACTAGTGGTGGTTTTGAACTGCCAGCCATGGGGATCTCAGTCAATGCATAACCATTATGCCATCAGGGCTCCCTTCTCTAGTCCTAAAGAAACTGGATGACCTAAAATTCTAATCATCAACATTCACTTTCGTGGCCTAGATAATTTCTGTAGATAGACACATGGAAACAAATCTTCCAACATGACAGGGTTCATTGTTAATCCTCTTTTCAAAAATGAGATTAACCTCCCCCACTTGTTCTCCTATCCTTCCCTTCAGGAAAGGCCTCACAAGCAGAAGCTATGTAGGCTGTATCAAAAACCTGGAGATATCTAGATCAACTTTTGATTTACTCAGAAATTCCTATGGTGTGAGGAAAGGCTGTATGCTGGAGGTATGAAACCATTTATTAAAAATCAAGTGAGTGTCTATAAATGTTCATTAATTTATTAACTTAATACCATAACCTAGTAGACACCAGTGGGGTGGAGACAAAAGGACTTGAGTACACCAGGCAGTAACACCGCTCCAGCAGACTCAATATCCACATGGAAGCTGACGGCTCTTCTTGTCTCCTGTCTGACCAGCCTATCCGAAGTGTCAGCTTCTTGAAAGGTGGCTATGTTGAGTTGCCACCCAAGTCTCTGTCACCAGAATCAGAATTGTTGGCAACTTTTGCCACCACCAACAGCAACGGACTCATCATGGCTGGCTTTGGCGGAGATGTGGGAAAGCAGAGCCGATGGCAGGCGCACGTGGTAAGTAGCTGAAGTTCTGGCCAGCCACTGATGGGGGAGGCCATGACTTTGGGGAATGGGAAAGGGGAAATCTCCTGAGTCATGATGGCAGTAACACGGATGTCCCTGTTGGTTCCAGAGGTGTACTTTTATTGAGTCAAAGTTCTTGTGGATGAACTGCTTTCCCTGTTACATCAGTGAATCTCTGTGTTACCTAATGCCTCTTCCTTGTCTAGAGACAGAGAAAGAGATGTTCTCTCTCCCTCTAATTTTTTTTTTTTCATAAACTGCATTTGGATAGTATTGCTCGGCTCTTCTGTATTTTATGCCTATTGCCTTTCCTCATAAAGTTAAAACAGCAAGCCCTTGGATTTTTCAGAGATTTTTGGTATACTATTTCATGAAATAGGATTTTTTCTTTAAATTTATCTTATTGGGGGCTCTTACAGCTCTTATCACAATCCATACATATATCCATTTTGTCAACCACATCTGTACATATGTTGTCCTCATCCTTTTCAAAACATTTTCTTTCTACTTGAGCCTCTGGCATCAGCTCCTCACCCCCACCTCCCCCATGCCCCCTTGGTAATTTATAAATTTCTTCTTCTTTTTTTTTTCATGTCTTACACTGACGGCTGTCTCATTTCACCCACTTTTCTGCTGTCCATCCCCCTGGGATGGGGGCCATATGTTGTTCATTGTGATCGGGTCCTCCTTACTCCACCTGCACCACCCCCCTTACCCTCCTAGTATCGCTGCCCCCCTTATTGGTCCTGAGGGGTTTATCTTTCTGGATTCCCTGTGTAGCGAGCTTTTATCTGTTCATGTATACATGTTCTGGTCTAGCCAAATTTGTAAGATAGAATTGGGATCTTGGTAGTGTGGGTGGAAGAAGCATTAAAGAACTAGAGGAAGATGGTGTGTTTCATCGGTGTTAAACTGCACCCCAACTGGGTCTTCTCTTCATTGTGGCCATTCTGACAGGGGGTGTCCAGTTGACTACAGATGGGCTTTGGGTCTCCACTCGAAGTAGGAGTTTAAAAACTATTATAGGAATTTCATAAGCCTGGTGGACTAGCAATAGCCCTTTCTCTATTCGCATTAAGTGCACTTTCCAAAGACTAAATCTACTGTAGAGTCAGTTCCGACTCATAGCAGCTCCCCTGTAAGACAGAATCAAATTGTAACAGAAGATTCTCAAGGCTGAACTCCTTGTGGAAGCCTACTGCCACATCGTTCTTCCACAGAGCAGCTGGGGCTTTGAATCACTGGCCTTGCAGTTAGCGACAGTGCTTTAACCACTGCACCACCAAGGCCTGTATAGATAGTGGGCTACTCTTTGGGCTGCTAACCATCAGGTCAGCTGTTTGAAGCCATCAGCTCTTTAAGAGAAAGATGAGCCTCCTTTCTATTCTCATACAGAATTACAGGCTCAGAAACCCACAAAAGCAGTTCTACTCTGTCTGACTGAGGTGCTGTGACTCAGAATCGACTTTATAGCCGTACTTTTTTCCTGAAATTTTAATGTACTGTTTGAATGATAATAGAATTCATGCAACCAGCATTTGAAGAGTGGTATTATATCAGGCATGATGTTTCCTAGCCATTATTTTTGTGCAAGTATTTTACTAAGGAATAAACTGGCTCAGAGGTCACATCGCTGTTAAGAATTAGAGCTAGGTCCAGAAGCCCCAAATACAACTTAGCAGCCACGTGGTGAGAGAGGCTGACTACTGATGACGAAGATTGATTTGTGAGCTCCACCAGCCTCTGTCTTTGTTTGTTTGCGTTCTTCTCTCTTTTTAATATTTTATATTTTATAAAATTATGTTTTAGCATATAATTCACAAATCATACAACTTCATAGTTCACCATCCATTTCAGAACATGTTCTTCTTTTTCATACTCATTGTTGTTCACTCCTATTTTCCCCTCATCTTCCCTGCCAGGCCCCTCGGTAATTATTAACCAGTTACTGCTTTCTATAGATTTACCATATCCTGGATTTCATATACAGAAAATGCTAACTGCCATATCTATGGTTTATATTTGGCTCTGGTTCTCTTTAGATACATCATTATAGGTTTATAATAGTGTTGTCTCTACTGAGGTGGAATTTCCATCAGACTAATTTCAAAGGGAACAATGTGAGTCCTGCAGGGGTTCTCTGCTGGGCTGCTAACTGCATGTGGCTCCTTGGGGAAAAGATGAGCCTCGCTCTCTACTCCTGCAACGATTTACAGCCTCAGCCCCACTGAGAGCAGTTCTACCCTGTGCTGTCGAGTCAGAATGGCCTCTGGGGCAGTGAGGTTGGTTTTAGTCTGAGCAGTCACAGTATTTTCCAACCTCAGCCTGCATCCAGTTCAGGTATATTTTCATCACCCCCAAATAAAACTACACATTAAACAGCTGTTATCTAAGTCCCCTCCCCTAGCCACTGACAGTCACCAATATATTCGTTTCTCCATTAGATTTACCTATTTCGGATATTTTATAAAACTGGACTCTTACAATATATTCCCTTTTGCATCAGCCATATTTCACTTAGCATATTTTCATCTTGTTAACTTTCATCCGGTTGGTAGCATGCATTGAGATTTCATTTCTCATCCTGCCTGAATAATAGGTCCTTTATCCATTTGTTCTGTGATGGAGTCACCTTTTGATGAGTGTAAACAGCATCTCTGTTCATAGTGTTTCTAGGAACATCATAGCACAGATATGTTTGAGTCTTTATTTTCAGTTCTTTGGGGTTCTAGTCAGCAGTGAAATGATTGAGTTATGTGACACTATTGGGTAAACATGGGACTCCTAACTGCAAGGTTGGTGGTTCAAACACACCAGCCACTCCACAATAGAGAGATGAGGCTATCTGCTTCTGCACAGGGTCAGTATGAGTCAGTCAGAAAGGACTCAAGGACAGTGGGCTGTGTATGTACTTTTAATTATTTGTTTGTTTGGGTCTATGGCAATTCTGTGAGTATCGGACTTTTTGAGAAACTGCCAAACTCTTTCCTCCACCAGTCTCAATACCCACCACTTTCAAGGCAACTCTGACTCATAATAGCCCTACGTAGGGTTGTTGACGCTGTAAATCTTGATGGGAACAGAGAGCCTCATATTTCTCTCTCAGACTGATTGGTGAGTTTGATCTACCAACTGTGTGGTTTCCCAATGCCTAACCCATGATGCCACCAGGGTTTCTTCGTTTCAATAGAAACAAACTGACTGCCATCGAGCTGATTCCATATCACAGCAGCCCAATAGGGCAGAGTAGAAGAGCCCTGTGGAATTCCAAGACTGTAAGTCTTCATAGAAGAAGAAAGCCTCATCTTTCTCCTATGGAGCAGCTAGTAGTTTTGATCTGCTGACCTTGTGGTTAGCAGCCCAGCATGTTACCCACTATGTGACCATCAACAACAACAAAAATGATACCATCCAGTGCTAGTAGCATCACAAAATTGGTACACCTTTTTTAAATCTGGCAACCACTTTTAGAAATCTTTAAAAAAACAAACAAACATTTTACGGGCAAAAAATGTAAATGTTCATTGTGTACTTAAAATTTAGAAACAACCTAATTTTCAGCATTAAAAGCAACATAGATAAATGAATTGCATGGTATTGACTTGTTGGAATGTAATATAGCAATAAATAAAATATTTAAAAACTGTCTAGAAATTGTTGTTACTGATGATAGCAGGATTCAAATCATATAAACGAATTAGAAAATAATATGCAAAACTTAAAATAGCTGAATTGCATGACGGGATTCTTCAGGAATTGCTTATATGGTATGAATATTGCCACATTAACTTTATATATGATGGTAATGATTTCCCTAAATCATATAGTAATGCATTTTCTATGGGAAATTCTCTAATATGAAACCTCCCCAGCCGTTCTTTGCCATCATGCTGATTGAAGGCCACATCGAAGTGCATGTTAATTTGGGGGATGGACCAAGCCTAAGAAGAGCGCTCCTGCTTTCTCCAGGGGGCACTTACAGTGACGGACAAGAACACTCCATCTCCCTGGTTAGGAGCAGAAGGTACTGTAAACGGCAAGGCCTGGGAACATTAGGGACCTACAGACAGACCATTGGCAGGGATATACCTTGAATAATTACTATAACATTTGTAACATTCAAAGGTTTCATTAGCAGCCAAAGTTTCCATAGTTTCAAAATAGTTCTAGAACCTTTCTTACAGCACCACCTTGGAAGTCAATTCATCTGTTTTTAATTTTTGCAGAGTTTTTGTAATTGAATTGCTTTCACCTGCCCTTTTCTGGGATCTACATTAAGACACCTTTACATTGGATAATTTTGTGATGATCCACAGTTTATTTCTGAATATTGTCCCTCAAAACTGTATGTCATGTGTGTTCGTGAGCTTACTGGACATTTTGTGGTTTAGACAAATGAGAAAGAGAATAATTCTTGCTTTGGTTGTTAGTCGCTGTGGATTCATAGTGAGCCCCTATTCTCAAAAAAGGAACCAAAGTCAGTGATAGCTAATTCATTGATAATTCAGTGATAGCTAATTCATTGATAATTCA